GACTCTTGTGCAGGAGTCACAGATTTGTGAGACTCACTCTTTCTAGCAAGGTGGGGGGGGATGCTTGGCTTGGGCCTCTCCCTGATAGGCCTGGAGCGCTGGTACTGCCAGGGTGGGGAGAGGAAAGGGACAGGAGGAAAGACCTGTGACAGAGAGAGAAGAAAGAAGCAGATGTTCTCTCCAGAAGTCTGCTTCTGAATGAAAGACAGGAAACCAGCAGCAGAAAGTCTCAGTGAAGTAGCTAAAGGTTACGAAGGAGCCTGATGTACAGAAATATGTGTTTCTACCTGAAAATAACTCAGATCAGAAATTCACAAATAGATGAGATACTGCAACTGCTGGAAGGACGCGTTTCTAAAAACAAGATCCCACAAAACATCTTTTGTAGGACTAAGCTGTGAATTGAGTTTAGGTTAGGTTTAGGGTTAGACATGTGTTGCTAATAGTTGGGGTTAGGGAAAGTGTCACAGTTGTGCCATTCATTAGTGAGAAATGAATGGAAGTCACTGAAAGGTCCCCTCAAGGATAGTGTGACACAACATGTGTGTGTGTGTGTGTGTGTGTGTGTGTGTGTGTGTGTGTGTGTGTGTGTGTGTGTGTGGGGGGGGTGTCTCACAATGTATTCTCTCCATGGTGTCTGCGAAGCCACACACTCGCTTTCACACACACCGGTCTGCGTTTGCTGCTCCATCCTCTCAGGTGTCTCCTGACACTGACACCTAGTGGTCAGTGTGGGAACAGTCTGCACACAAAAAGAAAACAGGAACAGCCCATAACATTTAATATTATTGGTGTCTTAGGTTCATGAAGCTTTTTAACTAACCCCCCAAAACTAAAAGAAGGAGCAGAAATAAGATCTAGTTGATGATTGGTTGATTTTCTCTCAGCCACTCAGGGTCAGAACTATACATACGACCCTCAGTAAGTTACAGCTTACAGCGGGTTACAGGCTTCCACAGACAAATAAGCCAAATAAACTACAGCAAACAATAAAGCATCTAACTGACCAACTGCATAGTTAGCTGTGCAATGGTTCGGTCTCGGCTCCTCAGCTCCTCCCGGAGCAGCTGTACCTCCAGCAGAAGCTCCTGCACTTACAGACAGATCACAGAGGAGAGGATTATGGGAAACGTAGGCCATCAGTAATAATACAGGAGCTTGATAAGGCTGAACTTGCTGACCTGCAAGTTTGAAACAGGGGACGAGTCAGTTGTGTCTGGACTCAGAGTGTCTGTGGTCAGCGTGTCGTCATCCAAGTGGTTGTCCTGAACACCGAAGGACACAAACAGGTTAAAAAATGTCCAAATCAAGGTATCAATGAGTCAGAGACAAAGAGCTAATCAGCAAAGTAAAGAAAAATAATGATATGAGAACATAACTTTACAACAGTCTTGATTCATCACTTTTATATTTGTTGTCACCTTTGCTTCCTGCCTGTGGAACCGATTGGGGCAACTGGGTTGTTACGCTGATCGGAGGTCACTAAAACTAGTGTTGATACATTGTGTGAGTTTGCCAATGTGGGACTCCATAATTTTCTCTGGTCCCCTCCCTGATCTGACCAGTGATGACATGTT